CTGCAGATAAAGCTGAATAATAATAAAGCTGGAGTGGAGCGCTGTAATGTGCCGATGATGCGTTCCTCCTGTGGTCAGTGACCTGCAGGCTGTGGCTGCCTCACTCACCCACAGCAGTATCCAGGCTGCACACACACAGCAGACATCGCTCACAGCCGTCGCCTCCTGACCGTTTCCTACACGCCGTCTGCAGCTTCTCGCTGGTCCTGCGTGACACACGTGCTGGTTTAACACTGAGACTGTCTGAGCACACACGATCTGTTCAAAGTGCCGACGTGCACGAAGCATGTGTGTAACTGCAACCTGTAGATGGTGCTGACGGTGGAGGGGAAGTCTGTCTGCAGCTTGGTGACAAAGCTCTCTGTGAGTCGTTGGATGCTGGCCTTCTCCACCGTCTGTGAACAGAGCAACACAACTGTACTCAGGCTGGGAACACTGAAACTCCTGGAGGAGGCGCAGGCAGAGGAAGAGACGACGCACACAGCAAAGGTCCTGACGTCTCAGATGATGATGATAAATATGTCAAACATAAAAACACCTCCATCTGTGATAACACTCCATGTCTGTCTCGTTTCCCCTCGTTTCTGAGAGAGAACTTTGTTCACACAGTTTAAGCCAAACCATCGTATTCATCATGAAGCCCAGCCTAACATCCAGAAACCTACAATAAGCGACTTATTCCTGATAACACAGTGAAGAATGTCTAAAAGTCCAGATTTACTTTGAGGTAATTTAGTTACAGAGAAGAAAAGAAGCTTTGCCTGAACGAGGACATCAAACATGAACGGTTCAAAGATGTAAGGAGGGGAAGCAGGAAACTGTCCCGTGGGAACAGTGCACAGCAGCAGAGGTCGTGTACACATCTGCACACATCTGTACTGACGGTGCCCGTTTCATGAATGGTCTTGATTATTTGTGGAAGTCGGGATCAGAGAGTAAAATCCTGTTTGTTATGGGGCGCACGCCTGAACCCGACTTCCTGTTTGTTATGGGGCGCACGCCTGAACCAGACTTCCTGTTTGTTATGGGGCGCACGCCTGAACCCGACTTCCTGTTTGTTATGGGGCGCACGCCTGAACCCGACTTCCTGTTTGTTATGGGGCGCACGCCTGAACCCGACTTCCTGCAGGCCGTCCATAACACAGGTCTGAAGCAGGGGTCTCAAACCCGTGGCCCGGGGGCCGCTTGTGGCCCATGTCACACCTTCTTGCGGCCTGCATGTCAACATGAAGAAATATAACGCAGTTTGGTCCCTGAAGTGACTTTGTGTTTGTTGTTGAGAGCAATGTTACAACAAGTTGTGTAAATGATGTGATATGAGAGTGCAAACATGCTG